CTGCTGCTGCTGTTGTGGCTACGTCTTCTCTGCTGCTGTTACTACTGCTGCTGCTGCTGCTTCTGCTGCTGTTACTGTTACTACTGCTGCTGCTGCTGCTGCTACTGCTACTGCTGCTGCTGCTACTACTACTGCTGCTACTGCTGCTACTGCTATTGCTGTTATTGCTGCTGCTGCTGCTGCTGCTGCTGCTGCTGCTGCTGCTGCTGCTACTACTACTACTACTGTTGCTACTTCTGCTACTGCTGCTACTACTACTGCTGCTACCACTGCTGCTGTTTCTACTGGTGATGCTGCTGCTGCTGTTTCTACTGCTGCTGCTGCTGCTGCTGTTTCTACTGCTGCTGCTTCTGCTACTGTTGCTACTGTTGCTACTGCTGCTACTGCTGCTGCTGCTGCTGCTGCTGCTACTGCTGCTGCTACTACTACTACTGCTACTGCTGCTGCTGCTACCAGTGAAATTCCCCTGCTATCCTGTCACAACGCTTACAATCTCATAGATGAGTTGCCTTCGGATTGAAAAGCTTCCACAAAAAATGCCATTTTGTGCCGGCGGGTCAGTAGCGAGCCATGCTAACGCGTGCTGACGTCACATTTACACGATTTATTACTGAGCTATAGTAACCTGACCAAAACGTTCAGAATCACGCCGAATGGGATATTTTCAGCTCTATTTTTTATCGTGTAGTTAATAAGATTTACAGGACTGTGTGCGCGCAGAAGCGTGCAAACGCCCCCGAAAAACATATTGTCTATTAGAACCAACCCACCTTAAAAATGCTGGGTGAGGATACTTGATAAAATATATCATTTTGTAGAGAGTGTATACGCTATTCCTTCGTGTTTCCTTGAGTTTGACAGTATCATCAACAACCGCACCTCGCTGTTTGCCAGCATGCTACGCGACCACTCCCTTTGCGTGACTCACTTTCTCAATGCATCCGGCTTGCCCAAATCACCGTGAAATACTCATAAGGTCCTCGGATACCCACGTATCGCGTTCGAGGCCTGCGGCCTTTTCTACCTCCACTACCGTGTACATGGTTTTCAGGTCTGAGGTTTTCAGCTGCCCGCGTTTCGATTTCAAACCCCACAGCTTTTTCTACCTCCACTACCGTCTCTGTTGACAGTAATAAGGTCCTTAGCTGCCCACGTTTCGTGACCGAACTCCACGGAATTTTTCCTACTCTCACTTCCGACAACCACCGTCCACGACCGCGATGGACAGTGAACTACCGACTACGTGGACAATGGCAACTACATTGGCTGCCCACGTTTCGTGACCGAACCCCACGGGATTTTTCCTACTCTCACTACCGACTACCACCGTCCAGGACCGCGATGGACAGTGGACTACTGACTACGTGGACAATGGCAACGTCATTGGCTGCCCACGTTTCGTGACCGAACCCCACGGGATTTTTTCCTACCTCCACTACCGACTACCACCGTCCAGTACCGACCACCACCGTCCGGTACCGACCACTACCGTCCGGTACCGACCACTACCGTCCAGTACCGACCACCACCGTCCAGTACCGACCACCACCGTCCAGTACCGACCACCACTGTCCGGTGGACAGCGTATTACCGATTACCGTTGGACAGTGGACTACCGAGTACCGTTAGACAGTGGGCTACCAGGTACTAGTGGGGTAATATGAAGTGTAATAAAAATAGCTCCCGTAGGATTATTGTGCTAAAGTAGATTTTTTTCCTTTATCGGGTTGATTCGGGGTCAAGTCAGGGGGTCCTGGGAAAAAAACCACTCCATTTTCTGATAGTTTGACCCCAAATCAACCAGATAAAGCCAAAAAATCAATTTTAGCATAAAGATCCTACGGGATTACACTTCATACTGCACTATACGGTTAGACAGAGTCAGTAGACTGCCGAGTACTGCTAGACAGTGCACTACCGCGTACCGCTAGACAGTGAACTACCGAGTACCGCTAGATAGTGCACTACCGAGTACAGGTGGACAGACGGGAAGCTTACCTGTAGTCAGGTGTCAGCTCGAGTGCGGTGAGACGCTCGACCCGCTGCAGTTCGGCCATGATGCGGTCGCCCTCCGTCTGCAGGCTGGTCAGCTCCGGGTCATCGAACGTGCAGCTGATGTAGTGCTTGTGTCTGTCGATCACCTCGCTTGTTCCCTGCAGCCACACACACAGAACATTAGTTACACACTGAACAATTCATGCTGAACACTGGTCACACACTAAACTAACGGTCAAAAAATCTAACAATGGTTACACACTAAACTAACGGTCAAAAAATCTAACAATGGTTACACACTAAACTAACGGTCAAAAAATCTAACAATGGTTACACACCAAACACGCGTTATACGCCCAACGTATAGCTAAAGGCATACATACATACATATGCTGCGACTACTGCCACAACAAAGACAGACAAGTGCATGTTTCAGCCCGTTCATCGGTTACAGACCGAACGCACAGCTAAAGGCACGAACGCTGCCACTACGTCACGTGGCGCGAAAACGAAATCGTGCCTTCTAGCAGTATTGCAGGTGTCAGTGACGCGGGAAGTACTACCCAGTACCCATACCAGTACTGCTGCTGGTAGCAATCAGGTATACAGCACTGCTAGATCGAGTTCTAACACTTAGAGATGCGAGCCAAATGTTGCGGCGTCGAGTACGAAGTGTCTGTCACAGTGCACGGCTATTAAAAACCTGTACCCTCGTGCGCACATCGTGACCGGTAGCGGTTATAACCAGCTGCTGCTGCGCGTGCGGGGGCAGATGTGTGTGGCCTTATCAGTAGCAGACATCAGTGACAGCAGGCATGCATGAGGCGCACCTGGGCAGCAGCTAGCCCACACCACACCTCAGGGGTGTATAATATAGACTACTATCTACAGGAGTGTCATAATATCAAGAGCGTATAAAGAAGCGTACCTTCTTTATACGCTCTTGATAATATAGATCTATATTATGACACTCCTACTATCTATACTATCAAGAGTGCATAATAGAGATCTCTATTATGCACTCTTGATACTATCTATATCATACACTGCTGACATGCACCACAGCTCCCGTGCGCAGTAAACTACACCCGCATTTGCACCTATACACTAGCAGCAGGAGTGCCATAATATAAATGTCTATATTAGTCTATATTATGACACTCCTGATGGCAGAAACCCACGGAGACCCCTAGCGCGGGAGTAGGGGGACGTGTAGTATAAATACCTGTGCAGTGGTGGGGAGTCTGGCTCCCTTCAGTTCTTGCATTAGACTCAGCAGATGGTTGGCGGCGGCGCGACACTGGTCTATGAATGGCTCGATCTTCTGCAGAGAAACAAACAGAAACTCCTAATTAGTTACGAGATCAGTTGATGATTAGTACAAATACATTTACATCAGGAGTGTATAATAGGGGTATATCCCTATTATACACTCCTGATTTACATGTACGGACGCACGGACGTAAACTCACACACACGCATGCACACGCACATACATACACACACACGCACGCACGCACGCACGCACGCACGCACACACACACACACACACACACACATATATATATACATATATATATATATGTTAGAAATACTTAACTGAAAAAGCTGAAAAAATTACTTTACAGGATGTTTAATTAGCTTTGGCCTTTTAGGTTAAGCATCTGTTAACTTTGTTGACATAACGAATCCAACCGACCCCGTTCGGCAAAAGAAACCCACACATCCGGATCGCAGCTTTCAGTAGAAGCCAAGCAAAATTCATGCTTTAAAAAATCTCATCAGATAATGATTACTGATATTGATCACATATAATTGATCAATATGCTTGATGCACACGCGCACTTAGTGCATACTCGATAGACGCGGACACAGGACATAGTTCATTATGTAAGTACGCAGTTACGTTGTCATCTGTTACTCCACACGGAAAAGGGAGTATAAATGTGTACCTTCTACTACGAACGCATAGTAATTCTCTATTCAAACGACAAGTCCTATTACGGAATCTCCCTTCTCGCGCAGTGCACGCTGTTACATCAACGCTACAAGTTATAATGCGAAAATGCACAATGCCCTACAAAACTCTCAATAGGCATTTTTTTCCGCAAATTTACCATCGTCAGGTTTTTCTGTTAAAACAACACGTGCCCCGTGCTTCCTTTGTTACGAGGGCAGCAATTAAGCACTCCGCGTATTATTACTGGCCGAAACACGCTTTCAACCAAAATGAAAACTGCTCTGATCTGTGTGTGCGTGCACCTGCACTCTTACACGATCACTGCACGCCGGCACCATATCACGCCATCAACAATTTCATTCTTAAGACAGCGACCAATTAAAAGTGAAATTCAATATGCTAGAATGTATGTATCACCGCACGCCAAGGCACATGTCCATTGTGAGAGCCCACGCAATATACCGACTGGGTTGTCTCGGAGAGAAAATATCGGTAACCTTAGAACTCTTGTTCTGGCAAGCGTCGGCATGGAATCATGACCCAGAAATCACTAACTATAATCCACACCCACCACCGCAGTTCATAAAGTGGCAATCCAGCGTTCGAGATGCACGTAAACGCCTGGCAAGTTCATCCAACAGGTGGCGCTGGTGGTGGAGCTCATGCGGTGCTGGTGACTCAGGTCACGTGCGATGGAGGATCCGGTGTCTCATTATAGGTACGTTTATCGTCTCACATTTATCACATAAATAGCTCGCAGATGGAATCTGTGTCTCACGTGCGGAATTAGTGTCTCACACGTGTGAAATCGGTGTCTCACAGATGAAATCAGTGTATCACACGAGGAATCGGTGTCTCACATGTGGAATCGGTGTCTCAATCGTAGAATCGATGTCTCACAGACAGAATCGGTGTCTCAATCGTGGAATCGGTGTCTCACATCAGAATCAGTGTCTCAGTCGCGGAATCGACGTCTCACAGACAGAATCAGTGTCTCGATCGTGGAATCGATGTCTCACAGACAGAATCAGTGTCTCAATCGTGGAATCGATGTCTCACAGACAGAATCAGTGTCTCAATCGCGGAATCGATGTCTCACAGACAGAATCAGTGTCTCAATCGTGGAATCGATGTCT